AATATGTATTGACTTTATAGGACACATGCCTTGACTTACAAGGCAAGTTTTTCTATGTGTAGGCCATATAGTTAGTTTGGTCTTCAAGCTAACAACATGTGTGGCACATGGCCAACTTGTTGACCATGATTCTAATCCAAAAAGTCAATTAAAGACACCTATAAAGTCAAAGCAGCATCTATAAAGCTTCTATGAAGCTTTTATGGCAAATATTATAGAATTAACTTACTTTTACCTACTTTTACTTACTTCTACATATTTATACATGTAATTATTGGCTTACATGCATATGTCTGTGACACCATTATATATGGTTATATATAATTCTTCATTTTTTTTTGACAAAGTCTCTATCTTAATCCTCAATGCTTCAAGAGTATTAATAATAGAATCTACCTTGATTTCTTTAGAGTCTATCATATTGACTTTTCCACCTTCTACCATAGAAAATCATAGAAATACACGCCTTCAAAAGAAAAAAATATGATCTATAATAGAAAGAAAAGAAACCAAAAGAATATTAAGAAAAGAACAATATTAGTCTAGGAGAGGGTAATCCGCATCGTCTAAAATGCTATAGTACTTCCAAAAAGAAGAGTAATCCACTCTCTATCAAAAAAGACCAAGCTCCTAATATTATTTTATAGCAGCCTTGACAAACTGTTAGGAACCATATACAAGACAATGATTCAAGATCAAGAAATAGAATTAGCTAGACATTAGAACAATAATTGGATACAAGACAAGAAGATCCTAGTTAGACTATAAGAAGTGAGTTGTCGAGACTAAGGATTCCCTTAGCCTTGACTCCTATATATACTAGATTCTAAGAAGCTTCTTGAGAAGTTTATATGAGGCTTGAAAATAAAGTAAGGCTAAGATCCTTCTTTAGCAACTTCCTAAATCATCTAAAGCCTCCTAGAATCTTCTAAGACCTCTTATGATCTTCTAGAACTTTCTTAGAAACTATTGGAAGCTTTCATAACCTTCTAGAACCTCTTAAAATCTTCAAGAGCCTTCTTAAAACCTACTCATACCTTCTAGAACCTTCTTCAATTGTATATCCATGACATGTATTAAATGTCCGTAAAACAATCACAAGGAAGCAAAACCTTCTTTAAGAGCACTTATATCTCTCTCTAAAGAAGATTTCCATTCTTTCAAAATCTTAAATCCTATTTTATTTTTAAACTTTAAATCTTAAAATCTTACTCTCAAATCCTAAATCCTACTTTTAATCTTCAAATTTTAAATTTTATTTTATTTAAAATTTATTTATTTAAAAGAAAAAAATAGATTGTAGATTCTAGAAGATTGATGCCATCATATTTTAACCTCTACCAACTTATCACCTTTTTTTTTTTTTTAAGCTATATACCAATCTATCAAAAAGATAAATATATAGAAAGCATGGGCATTATATCCTAATGCAAGTATTGTGGGGCCAATCTTCTAAATATCATCAATAAATAAATTAAGAATTTTTGAAGAATATTCTTTTATTTTATTTTTTCATATGCCATCATAGAAGAATTAATGTATTTCATAATTCTTATTTAATTTTAATATATTGTATGCAAATATAATATGACAATATACAAAACATATTCAACAAATTATAATCTATTATTTTGATGCAATACTAATGCTCTGATAATGCTTTATTTTAAATAATGAGCTTTGTTTTACTAAAAGCTTTGATACTATTATTCTTATTAATAAAACAATATTAAAAATTATAATTAATATTGATAGGAATTTAAAAATAAAAATAAAATAAAATATACCATTAATTTTTAAAAAAAGGTAATAATCAAAAACAAAACTACAATAATAGCAATATTACCATTAGCATATACATTGTAAAAAAATATATTTTTCTAAAACTACTAAAATCATTGATGAAAAAAATTGAAAGTTCGAAATTCTAATCAACATGTGTAATTGCAGAAAATACTTTAACATATTTAGTATTTAGAAGAAAAATATTTATATTAAGTAGTGCTTCTATAGCTTAATAATTGTAATTTTACTTTGCATGGAGACGTAGATTATTGTGGCTGCTTGCATCTTGCTATTCTTAAGGCATATTCAAAAAGTTATGCAAAATTTTGTTGAAAGGAAGAATTATTGTTGTAATAACAAAAAATATATTATTATTGGCATGTGCAATTGTCTTACTATTACTAAGCAACAATGTCGTATATTATAAATCATATAATACACATAGCAATCCTATAAAACCTTTAAGTACAAAGAATCATCAAAAATTAACATGATTGCAAAAATGTATCTAGACTTGATGCATACTAAGCAATACATGTTATTGTATTATATGTATTCTTGCTTGAAAATGCATGAGGTACCTAGTTATTGAAGGTAAGTAGAAATGTAATAACAATCCTAGTAAATCTAATAGAGTTTTAAATAAACTTTAATTAATCCTTAATAATCCTAATCAAACTTTAATCAATTCAAAGAAATTACAAATGAAATACAAAGAAGTCATAAATTAATTTTAAAAAATAATAATAAAAAAAATCTAAAGAAATATAAAATTAAAACCTTAAAGATATAACAATAATCTTAAAGAAATAATAAAAATAAAAACTTTTAAAGAAATAATAAAGAATCTTTTTAAAATACTAAAAATATAAATCTTAAATATATCTTACATAAATCCTAAATAAATCCTAATTTAATCTTAATTAAAATCCTAATTAAAATCCTAATGAATCTTAATCAAATCTTAGATCAAATCTTAATTAAATACTAATTAAAAATTTAATTCAATTTTAACCAAATCTTAAATTAAATCCTAATGAAATCCTAATAAAATTCTAAATCCTAACTAAATCTTGGATTAAATCCTAATTAAACTTTAAATCCTAAAAAATCTTATTCAAATCTTAAATCTTAAACAAATCCTAATCAAATTCTAAAAAAATTGTAAATAAATCTTAAACAATTACTATAGTTATTTGAAATTTCAATAAATATTAATTGAATTTTTAATCTTGGCTAAAATTCATCCAGACTTCAATCAATATGCAATCATCAAATACACAAAACTTTAGAAGAATTAAACTTACCAATTGTACAAAAAACTCCCAAAACCTCTTGGTTCTTAGCTACCCTCTTTCTCCAACTTGAATAATGATCTTTCAACAAAGATTTCTCCTTTCTAAATCATTCAATTAGTCCAATATTTGGCTAATGTGTAGATAATTAAGTCTAAATTTTTCTCACCAATTTTTGCTTCAATCAAATTGGCAAATGTTGCAAAATCACAAAAATCCTTATTGACTCTAAATTTCAATTATCTAAGACCATAACCCACAAAAATTCTCACAACCTTCAATCTAAATGCTCAATTGATATCAAACTTCTTACACACTTTTAAATCAAGCACAATAACAAACCAACAAATTTTTAACCATAAAAATGCTACAAAATTCAATCTTCGAAATTACAAACCTCTATTTATTTCTTGAAATTCAAACTCATAGAATAAATATCTCACTTTGAAAAGCTATCAAAATCTCAATACCTATCCAAATGATATGAGACTAATTCTTAAAATCTCTTCTCAAGTTTTTTCTCAAATTCCATTTACCAATTGACAAAAGAACCTTGGAGTTGCTTCATGTGCATGGTTTTGTGCCTTGGGGTTTGATTTTGACCCTCATTCACAACAATTTCTCTTTGGATATTAATTCTTGGTAATTTGAGGTAATTTTTGCTTAAATCTATTATTAATTTTTTAAAAAAATATTTATATTAATTACATATTTTATTTATTTTGATTTGAGACATTTATGCCCTAAAAAAATAAATAGAAGTTCCTTCTACAAAAGATAGTATTTAAACTAAAATTTTTACTTTCTTCCTATTATTTATCCTTATTTTTCTACTACATCTTTCTACTAGACTCTTCTATAATAATATCCATATTCTTATTTTTTACCATATAATCATATTACCACACAAAAATGCTGATGTAGGTAAATATTCCTCTTAATATTATCTTATAGTAGATCCAAAGTTCTACATATTGGCGAAAAAAAATGAAAAATATATATTCATACATATTGGTTCTATTTTTTAAAGGATGTAAATATTTATTTGTACAATCTTTATCACTTTAATAAACTCAAGCTTAAAAAATTAAAATTTTTAATTATTTCGTCTATAATATAATATTTATTAATTTTAAGACTAAAATATTAAAATTAATACCAAATCTAAACATTTTAAAAAGTTAAAATATTTTCAAAGGTTGTATTAGAAACTGACAGCCATAAATGAAACCAATATATATATATATATATATATATATAGATAGATAGACTATTACTATAAGTGATCAATAAATATGTATTTTGCAAAAGAATGACATCTTATTTATTTTTATTTTTATTTTCTTGATAATCACTACACGTATAATGACCCTGGAATAAATTAATGAATTGGGAAAATATAACACATGTTAAATTAGACCATGACCAAAACAGATTTAACTTTTTTGAATTCTAATGTAAAGTATTTGATTCAACTTTTCCTAATATTATCATGTATCATTAAAAACTGAAACTAATACTACAAACTCCTCCAAGCACCCCATATTTACAATATGCTAGATACTACCACTATCAACCAATTAGAAAGCTTGCATTCTGAAGATTTTGTTGCATATTACCTTCATCAATCCTCTACTTGTATTTAGAAAACGAAACATCCAAAACCCAAATAATGAAAGCAATTCTTGGGATTCCTGTACGTGAATCATTTTTATGTTTATCCATGGAAATTCTTCAAATTACACAAATTAGATATGTGTGACAAACATCAATTACTAAAGACCCGACCAAACTCTTCTACAACCCTGCTGTGAGCACCACAGAGTCAATATGATATGTAGCTCTCACTACTTGAGGTCCAAGGTACTGCTCAGCTATTATATTAAAAGCATGAAACATTAGATCTAGCTTCTTCAAATATGAAAGAAAGCTAAATCACAATATTGCAGCTGTTTATCAGGTGATTCTTACAAGTAGACATTGAGCTCAACCTACTTTGGTTTGCTTCACCTCACGCTCTCTCAGGATCGCGGAGCTTATCTTCTCTGAATTGCCATCCTCGAATAGCAAGTCAACAACCTCTACCTACACCATAAAAATATTAAGTATCAATGGCTGATTAGACAGGGACCAAACGGTCCAAATCACCAATTTTCAATCGAGGACTAGGAACAAATGAGAAAACTAGGCAGTGGAAGAGAGTTGCTAACTCCAACTGTTGCTCAAATACAGAGGTGGAACGGAAAGATCTAACTGAAGCACGTTATTCCCAACACAAATCAATACCTGGAGTTGAGAGAGACCTCTTTCAGCCCTTTTGTTGTTCACGGATTCTCCTCCTTTTAACGTCTCTTTACTATGGTAGCATATGCCACCCACCGAAAAACATATTAGAGTCCCCATGCTGATATAGAAATAACTCAAATGCTCCATGTATCAATGTTTTTCATGAAACGAAACTGCTCTAACCTTACAACAATGGCTTCCAATTCTGGGTCGACGATTGAGGGTCCATAAGGGTCTGTAATAGGTTCAGCTTGCACCTTCAGCTCTGGCTTTACTGACTGCCTTGCACAAAAATCGCTTCGCTTTTAGAACGGAATCAATCAGCACATTTACATGAAGTCCTACACTTCACAGATATTAAAAAAACATCTGCACCTTATATGGCCATATCCGTCAGCAACAAACAGTACTCGACAATGCTGAGACTGTCATTTCTGCGAAGATGTCAAATAGGAAGGACTTAACGACATACCACCTTAATAAAGACTTCCGCTGCTTGCCTACGGACGTCCAGGGGTTGAGTCAGATGTGCATACTGAAGTAACATCAATACAAGAAGTTAGGGCTTTCAACACCAATTCATCATATAACTTTCATAGACCTGAGAGTATGTCCATCAATTTTTTTTCAATCCCCCGTTCTTTGTGTTCATTCTATGAATCATGAACCTTTTAAGTCCCTTCTTCTAAGGAATCTTTTTGCAGGCCTAGCACTGCATTTTGACGAAGAAAACTAGAACCCGGACTGTCATTCTTACACAATTTTCAGTGCTAGGATCTATAAAGATATAACAATTAAATAAACAAATGTAGAGTAATCAGAATCAAGCGGCACCACATACAAATTTCGAGGTTTCCTGGGTTAAATTCTCAAAATCAAAAAAACCATTCATGCCATATGACACCTCAAGAAAACACATGAGAGGCATAGAACTTGACATCTTTATTTGAAAGCATTTGCCTTGTGCTAATGCACACTACAACTCTCTCTCTCTAGTGCCAATTTTGCCACAGCCTAAAAGCAGAATCTCACTCTTAGATAGCACACCCACAAGTAAATTGATCAAGCAAAGATGCGAGTGAAAAATGTGCAAAGTTACTTTTCACTTAAAAATAAACGCTGGTAGAAAGAAATTATACCTTTAATAGGACATGGTGACCAGGATGGAGACAATCGAAGGAGCCTCCAAGCATGATAATAGAATATTTGTTCGGTTGAATTACATTTATGGTGGCCATTGCCCCAGACGCTCCTCTACAATGTCGTCGGGCCTATGATTATTGAAGAAAAGAAGTCTAAAAGCTACAAACACTTAACATCAGCAAGGATTGTACTCTAAGAGAAGTTTAGAGAGAGATATCTCTTACTTCTAACATCCTTTACTTATAGCTGGAGTTTACATCCCAAGTACATAGACTTCATCCAGAGTTATCTTCATCCTTTCAATCTAGATCTAAATCTAAATTCGTCTTAACCTAGCCACTACCTTAAAATCCTAGCTGCTACCATAATAACTTCATTTAATTCTTTGGTACCTTTTGACTATTAGTAATTTACTATGCTTAATCTTTGTATGGTGGTAACTAAGTAAGAACTTGTTGTTCTTCAATACTCTCACTTTGCTAATTTTCAAAAGGCTTTTAATCCTAATCTCTGAATCAAGTCATGATGTCTATCCTTTACTAATGCTTTTGTAAATACATCAGCAAGCATGTCATTTGTAGCACAATATTTCATACCTATTATTCCATCTTCAATCTTTTCTCATATGAAATGGTGTTGAACATCAATGTATTTGGTCCTTGAGCGTCAAGGACAAGAACATGATAAAAACAAATAAATAAGTGAGACTTCTCTCAAAGAAAGATGAAAAAATAGAAATAACTTGATATGTATATTAAGAAAGAAACTGGAATGGCTATTGCTAAAAGCTAAGAAAACTAGAGACCCTTGAAATTGATTGGAAGTAAGAAAGGAGTTGACAAGAGTGAAGAAGGCTTCACTCTTGTCTCTATATATACTATTTAACCAGGGGCTATATGGCAATGTTCTATAAGACCTCTAATATGTATTGACTTTGTAGGACACATGCCTTGATTTACAAGACAAGTTTTTCTATATGTGGGCCACATAGTTAGCTTGGTCTTCAAGCTAATAATATGTGTGGCACATGGCCAACTTGTTGACGACAATTCTAATCCAAAAAGTCAATTAAAGATACCTATAAAATCAAAGTAGAGTCTATAAAGCGCTAGGAAGCTTCTATAGTAAATATTATAGAATTAATTTATTTTTACCTACTATTACTTACTTACTTCTATCTATTTATATATATAATTACTGGCTTACATGTGTATGTCCATGATATTATATCCCCTTCTAGGGACGAGTTCCACAAGGAGCGATCATCATATGTTGAAAAAATCTGTGTTGCGACAAATTGTATTCACCACTTTTTCTGATCTTTTTTCTCTTCGAAGATGATTGACAAGGCCTCTCAACCATCGATAGTGTCCCATATCAAGGAGAGAAGACCACCCAGTTATTTGATAGTTGTTGAGGCTATTATAACTTCCTTTGAATAAAAGATTTCGAACATTGTCAGGAATTATTCCTACCTCTAGTAAAATCACCAAACATCAGGAGTCCCTTCCAAGGTCATGGTACCAAACTCGTTATATCTCACCATCTATTATAGGAAAAATATGTCGTTCTTGAAGATCTTCATCTCGATAGCATCGTCTTGAAGGTTGTGACAATCATAATGTCTCGTTCGATAGATCAGCAAATGAAGGCTCTTGAGTCAAATCTACTTGTTGTTGGTTCTCCATCTCCTTAGTATCACAACTACAAAGAAGCTACAAACAAGGATTGAAAGTAGAATGTTATCTTGTTTAGATCTTATTTCTTTTATAAAGAAAGTTTTCATCTTGATTTTCATAGATGTCGTCAATGAAAAGCCTCTACCGTCTTTGCTGTATTTATAAGATTCTTTATTAGTTCTCATGTGCATTCACTAATATCATATCCGTAGCAATAAATAAGATATTTTAATTTATTATGGTACCACCTTGAATCTAAAACTTCTTCTACTTCAAACTCTTCATTATTGTCCACTTCTATAGGAGGAGGTGGAGCTTGTCTTCTTATTGGTATGTCCACTGTCTTGTATGATTCAAAAAGAGATATATTGTGGTATGACATGATTTACTATCTAGAAATACATTGAATATCTAGCTATAGAGAGTGTAGCTTAAACCTTTATATTAATCTTGTCTTAGCTTCCAAAACTCCTTTATTTTGCATAAAACTCAAAATATAGCAAAATCCCTTCAAAACATATTTTTCTCACACAGGACTTTCTTTTCATGAACTTTAGAAATTCATATCTCTTGATCTAACTGTTTAGTTAGTCTCAAATTTATAAGATAGGTAGAATTCTCCCTTAACTTTTAGCAAAAAAAAACCAACCGCAAATTCACTCCCGATCTTGTGGCATCTAAGAAATCCTAGCAAATGCTCTAAACCCTAATTTTCAAGCACCCGAGCACTATTTTCTTTATATCTCAAGAATCCAATACTCAAATGTCATAAAACTTATGTACAAAGTTTATTTACATGAAATTACACATTGCTTGAAATTTTGAGCCAAAACCTTGTCAAATTGCTTAAGATATAGCTCAAGACACAACCACTAGTAAATCGGGTCACTTACTACCCTTAGATTGCATGTGCTAACTTCAAAATCCAATAACTCCTTCATTCCAACTTGGAATCCAGCAAGCAGTATATAAAAAGTGTAGCCGCAAAAGTGCTCTCTTTAGTTGCAGTCACAGATCTTCAATTGCTGTCCGTATGCATGTGTTGTGCCAAAAAGAGTGACAGTAGCTCCCAAATCAACACCTTAAGTTTGAGCGATTGTATCTCCTTCATATAAACTCCAAACCATACAAAACTTGTACCAAAACCATAGCCAAAAACCTAAACTTATTGAGACTAACCTTCAAAGCTCGAATGGCTCCGAGAAACTAACCCTAATCCCTAATATGGCCTCGGGCAGCCTCCTCAAAGCCCATTGGTCATGATTTTTGACCAATAGGAATGGAGATTTTCATCATTCATCTCCATTCATCTATATTGGTGCCTTAATTATTTCCTTTGCTATCAAAATCCTTCTTCAATTCTTTTTCTTATAAGATTTATATAATTTATGCTCTAAACATCAAATAAAAGAACCAAAATAAGTTTTGAAAGGTCACCAATGTCTAACAAAGGTGACTCTAAATATTTAGAAGTTACTATCAACCAAAACCAATCTTAAAAGCTACTATCAAAAGGAAATTAAAGTTATACAAATTCTATAGTAATTTTTTTTAAACAACCTCTTCTCAAGGTAATAATCAAATTATATTCTACAACCAACTAAAATCTATTAACATGGCTCTCACCATGTTATTTAGTAAATTGTATATTAAGTACATAATTACATTATTTTCATATAATAGCCGAACCACAACACAAGAATGTGGAATAGTGGATGGATTTTCATTGACTCTAGTAGGTGTAAACGATATGCAATTGGATTGATTTATGTAGAAATAGAAAATGATTCAAGCCTTCGATAGTCCAACTTGTCACAAGGATAAGTAGTCTTGATATTATGGCAAAGTAACCATACTTTATCACCTATGTGGAATGGTGGTTGTTCCTTTCGATAGACATCCACATTGACTTTTTGTTGTTCTTGAGCTTCTTTTAACTATGCCTTCATCGTTGCATGTAGCTTTGACAAATGAATTACCAAATCTTTTGCAGCACGATTATCAACTTTTGAAAAGTCAAAAGTATCAAGTCGTGGATGATAACCATAATTGACAAAGAAAGGTATTTGTTTTATAGAAGAATGTACCGTGTTATTGTAAGCAAACTCTACCAATGGCAAAAGAGTTATCCAATTATTTTATTGGTAGTTAATGGTACATCTTAAATACTACTCTAAAACTTAACTAACAACTCCATTTGTCCATCAGTTTGAGTATAGAATATCGAAGTTAGTTTAATATCTACTTTTAGAATCTTGAAAAGAGGCCACCAATATCTTGATATAAATTGAGTTCTTCTATCTAATATAATATCCTTGGATAATCTATGATAGCAATAGATATTATCAAGAAAGAGCTTAGTTGTTTCTTCACCCGTGATAGATTTTATACATGGTACAAAATGTGCCATGTTGGTAAAATAATCTATTATCACAAATATAGAGTCATAAGAACCTGAGATTGGAAGATCCATGATGAAATCTATAGAAACAAAAGACCATAGTTGTTTTGGAATGGGTAATGGCTAGAAAAGTCCGTAAGGTCGATGACGAGGAGTTTTTGGTCTTGAGCAAATATCACAAGATTGTACAAAATTTTGGACTGCTTTTTACATTTGGAGCCACCAAAAGTCTTTGGATATTAGTTCCAAAGTTTTATTGTACCCAAAATGTCCTACTATTGAAAAGTCATGACGAGCTTAAAGAACATGTAATCAAGCTTTACC